TTGATCTTGCCAAAAACCAACAGGCAACCATCATAAGTGCCTATGCACCAACACTAGATGCTGATGAAGACATCAAGGAAAATTTTACTGTCAGCTGGACACCGTTCTATCGGGGATACCTAAGGAAGACAAAATCATCCTCCTGGAGGACTTTAATGCAAGAGTTGGGCAAGACTTTGACCTGTGGCCAGGGACCATAGGAAAAGATGGGGTTGGAAACAGCAACTCGAACGGCATCCTGCTTCCCACCAAATTTGTGAACATCCTGCGGCTCCTCCATGATAACATGATGGCAACAGTCCTGGACAGCAATGGCTCCCAAAGTGACCCATTTAAGGTGGGTCACTTAAATCAGGTGGAATCAGGTTTCAAACAGAGATGTGTGATTGCCCCAATTTTATTCTCCATCTTCATCGCTATGATACTTCACCTTATTGATGGGAAGCTTCCCACCGGAGTGGAAATCATCTATCAGACAGATGGCAAGCTATTCAACCTCAGCAGACTGATAGCCAAAACCAAGTTTACAACAACATCTGTTATAGAACTCCAGTATGCTGATGACAATGTCATCTGTGCGCATTCAGAAAAAGATCTACAAGCCACTCTAAACACCTTTGCAGAGGCATACGAGAAGCTCGGCCTGTCATTGAACATCGGGAAAACCAAAGTGCTCTTCCAGCAGTCACCAGCCAACCCCTTTCCAATGCCAGAGATAGAGCTTTATGGTGTAACTTTAGAAAATGTTGACCATTTCCGCTACCTTGGCAGCCACCTCTCCACCAAAGTCAACATTGATACCGACATACAACACTGCCTGAGCTCTGCGAGTGCAGCATTTTTCCGAATGAAGCAGAGAGTGTTTGAGGACCGTGACATCCATAGGGATACCAAGGTGCTTGTTTATAAAGCTATTGTCCTCCCAATCCTGCTATATGCCTGTGAAATGTGGACAGTCTACAGATGTCATATGCAATTCCTGGAACGATTCCATCAGTGCTGCCTCCAGAAAATCCTGCAAATCTCTTGGGAAGACAGGTGGACAAACGTCAGCGTGCTGGAAGAAGCAAAGACCACCAGCAGAATTGAAGTGATGGTCCTCCGCCATCAACTCCGCTGGACCGGCCACATTGTCCGGATGCCTGACCACCATCTCCCAAAGCAGTTGCTCTACTCTGAACTCAAGAATGGAAAACAGAATGTTGGCAGACAGGAAAAGAGATTTAAAGATGGGCTCAAAGCCAACCTTAAAAACTCCGGCATAGACACTGAGAACTGGGAAGCCCTGGCCCTTGAGCACTCCAGTTGGAGGTCAGCTGTGACCAGCAGTGCTGCAGAATTTGAAGAGGCACGAATGGAGGGTGAGAGGGAGAAATGTGCCAAGAGGAAGGCTCATCAAGCCAACCCCAACCGGAACAGCTTTCCACTTGGAAACTTATGTCCTCACTGTGGAAGAAGATGCAGATCAAGAATAGGGTTCCACAACCACCTACGGACCCACAAGAATATTGCTCCTGGAAGACTATCTTAATTGGCCAACGATGAATCGCCTAAGAAGAAGAAGCAAGGAGAGGGGATGTTCTGGAGTGATCATGTCAATTGCCCTGACCATCTTGCTATTATAGCGATCAACAAGAGCATCAGCAGGATCATCAGTCTCCAGGACAAGAAGATCCCCAAGAGACCCCAGGAGTCTTTCTGGATCCATCAGCCTCCTGGGGCGGGCCATCTTAAGAAAAGTCCTTACTCATGCTGCCATCTTAAATATGAAACTGTTGCCGCTGCTGTTGTTGAAAAAAGTATTTTTAGCTGGGAAAGCCCTATTTTAATATAGGTTTACTAAATATAATATTTGTGAAAGGCATCCCGAAATATAAGCGAAATATACCCCACATGCCTCCTGTAAGCAACTGAGCATGCTAGAACATCAATTCCAGCCCACCAAAATGGAAGCAGCAGAACTGCGTTTCAGAAGATGTAGCCCACTCAACCCACAGTTTGTTTTCCTTCATCCCAATCCAATCCAAGATTCATTTAAACTTTTGCATCATTTGCGAGAAGCCAGAAACTGACATTAATTTGAGTCTCCCAGTTATTTTTTTCATGTGGACTCAGTATGGAAAGATTTTCTGTTCTACAAATAATTCATGGTTGCACTGACTGCTATTACACTCATTATGAATTTTCCTAGTGCTTTTTACTTGCTTTGGTGCATAGTTCACCTTTCCAAAGCCAAAGTTACTTCCTATGCCTCTCAGACCCCTTCTACACTTTCCAGATTATTTGCTTTGAACTAGATTCGATGGCAGTGTAGATTAGGGCCCCTCCCACACAGCTGAATAAAGTCCCACTTTTTCTACTTTGAACTGGGTTATAAGGCAATATGGACTCAGATAACCCAGTTCAAAGAAGATATTGTAGATTATTTTCCTTGATATTCTGGATTATATGGCTGTGTGGAAGGGTCCATTGACTGCCATGCCTGATAACTCTCATTCATTGGGAGCACCTGACTTCTTTGAGTAGTAAGAAGAAACAACGATATGTTTGGGATGTCCTTTATTTCATTTCAAGTCTGGCACTCATAGGCAGGGCCAAAAAATTAAATGCTGAGCAGGTTAGAACAGGACCAGACATGTATGTTTCATGCTGAAACTGTTGGCTGCAGATATATGCTTTCAATTTTTATTTGCTTAAAATTGGATGCTAAAGTGCGTGCGGCCACTATCAGTATTTGCAGAACAGGCAACAACGATCCGCATAGTTAAAGCAATGGTATTCCCTGTAGTAACCTACGGATGTCAGGGCTAGACCATAAGGAAGACTGAGCGAAGGAAGATAGATGCTTTTGAACTGTGGTATTAGAGGAAAATTCTGAGAGTGCCTTGGACTGCAAGAAGATCCAACCAGTCCATACCTAATTGGAGGGAAGGATATTAGAGGCAAAAATGAAGTGCTTTGGCCACATCATGAGAAGACAGGAAAGCTTGGAGAAGACAATGATGCTGGGGAAAATGGAAGGAAAAAGAAAGCGGAGCTGACCAAGGGCAAGATGGATGGATGGTATTCTTGAAGCGACTGGCTTGACTCTAAAGAAGCTGGGGGTGGTGACAGCTGACAGGGAGCTCTGGCATGGGCTGGTCCATGAGGTCATGAAGAGTTGGAAGTGACTGAACGAATAAACAACAACAACAACAAAATAAAGAAAACTTTGGTGACCATATGAGTTTGGTGAACCTGTTTTCCCTGCGGCTTGTATGTGTAGGAAAGCACTGAAACACAAATGCTTTAGGACCAAAGCTTAAAATCTTTGCCATTTTGGATATCAGCTCCCAGAATTCTCCTTTGAGCCTGGATAATTTCCAAGTACAATCCAGCAATTTATTCCGTCTGCCTTTGGAAGGAAACCATCTGGATTCACATTGCCTGAATGAATGTGCAGCAAGCCAGAATCTAGCTGTCCTTCCAGATCTGCACTTTTCAGAAGATTCTGCTACAGTTCCTGGTTTTAAATGTACTCATGTATAAATAAAAATATCCATTTTATCACTTAAAAGTGTATTAAAGGTACATTTCGCCAAAAGTTTATAAAATGTGCATCAATTTGTGGAAACCCTATTAAAAGCAGAATGGGATAGAAGCATGACTGGATATATCGAGAAATGACACAGTTTGAATATAATCTGATTTGTTTACCCCTGACTAGTGGAGGAAGCAAAAGTCTACATGAGTTTACTTACTTTGTTATTATATTATGTATCATATATCTGTGCTGTCTTTCTCCTAGTATGAGACAAAAGTTTAGTAAAATTAAATAAGCTATTGCGTAAAATGCCACTGAATAAAAATGTTTCTAAACCATTTGAAACAGATGAAGTACATAGAAAAAACCATAGCAAATTTCCACTTCTATTTCAAAAAATCTCTTCTGCAATATCTAATGCCCCAAAGACTGTCAAAATACAAACAATCTTTTTCTGCCAGTGGAAAAAGAGCATATAAAGTACAACCTAGGACATGTCTACACTCATAGAGAAATAATCTGTTCAGTACTGCATTTTCCTGGTCCTCACAATGACCCTGTTAACACCACACAGAGAGCAATAAGATGGCCATACCTGGCCACACATTTCTCTTTAAGAACATACCTTATTGTTGTGGGGATGTTCTCATTTCAAATTTTTGGCCACATCCATGGCTGCTTTGTTTCCCCCTTCCCTTATTATGCATAAAAATATAAATAGGGAGGGGTGCACTAATACCGATATGCTGATATGCAAGTACATACACATGCAAATCTCCTTATTTTTAAAAAATCAGTTCAGAAAAGAATTATGTACTCCATATAGAGAAGTCTCCCATTACTCAGCTTCAAAATCAGCACTGAGATGGCTTTCTTTTGTGTCCTCACCAGTCATGTCTGCTATGGTGGAACTATTTCATCCTTGAATGAACATGCCCTTCAGTTGGCAATAACACTCCTACAATTGTCATTGGAAGCTATCCCCAAAATTTCCAAGTCTGTGTTATTGTAGTCCTGCTTCCACTGTGAAACCAATGCACTGGAAATTTGCCAATGCTTCTATTTTCCTCTTTTGTAACAGAACATTGCACATGCGTGCATAATTTGTTGGAGACTGTGACTCTTCCAGTTTATTTTAATTCATTTAGTTCATAACCTTTCTATGTTAGCAATGCACATACACTGAAAATGATTGCAAAAGAAGCAAACTTTATGTGGTTTCGTGTGTATATGTGTGTTCGCGCCAAGGTTCTTTTGGGGAGGTTTGACAGACATGAGGATAAGGATGGGAAGAGTTTCACTGGAATAGACAATCTCAACAAAAATAGCATTTTCTCACTTTCCAAGACCAGTATTGACAAAACCCGCACTCTGCCTCAAGCATTTACACATTTGTGATGCTTACAGAATGTTTCAAAGAAATATAGCGTACACAAAAATGTGCAAATATTGAAATACACGTGAGGCTATAAAGAAGTTATAGTAGTCAGGATATAGCTCCTTGGTTTTAATAAGTTATCTGGTCACTGTCTCCTTCGTATCCCCTCATGTTTGGGAGCCGATCAAAACAAATTCTAGGAACCAAACAAGGGTGCTTCCACAGAATTTCCCCTCTTTAAACCAGTCAGTGGTTTGCTGAGATAGTTCTATGGTCCTGTGGAGTGTCATTTCCCTGAGACACTTTAGCACCACAATTCTGAAATAGAGGGAGAAAAAGAGAGGGAGGTAGGGAGGACATTTTAAGATAAATTGGATTTGACCAAGATAAAAGAAATACAGACATAGGGATAAGAATGAGTTTTACACAAAGTTGTACAAATATGATGACCATGTAATTCAAAAAGCGCAGAACTTGCTTTTGAAACTCATGACAGAAGATTAACTCTTAAGAAGAGTACATTATAAGATCACAATTTTGAACAAGCTATTCGTATGGATGTATGGTGAAAAAATGTGGTTCAAAGTCATAAAATTTACTTTCTCTAGTCCTTCGAAAGAAAACCTGTATAAAGGATGTACAAATGATATTTAACATGGCTGTGCAAAAACTCATTTGCACTTCATATGTTGGATCTATTTTGTAAGATTCATACATATGATGTGATGATAAGAAATGCAGGCAGTGACTTTTGGAAGAGTTATGTTAGTCTCGTAAGTGGCTCCAGGACTCCATTGCAGGGACTGCTTCTCCTTCAAAAGAGTTAGGATTGATTCCTTCAAAGGTCCCCGAGGCTCTTTCTTCAAAGGTGGTGATGAGGCAGGGGCTGGGATGCCTGTCTGGTTGTATGGTCGGGCAAAGAAGAAGCCCCTCTGGCATATGGTCAGTTCAGATAGAGACAGGCAGAGACCATCAAATTGAGGCTTTAACGATGGCAGCCCCAGAATTATAAAGCAAGGAGAATACTGGGAAATGTAGTTTAAAGTGGGGCACTTTTGAGTTCTCTGGCACAGGTGTCCACATGTTCCCAAACTACACTTATCAGAATTATGCTCACTGCCTTGTGCCTTCTCCTCCTCCCTGAAAGTTTTGGTGGGGAAAACCCGTGTTCATTCATTTATTTCAAGTTCTCAAGATAAAAGGGGATTGTTAGGAGTTGATTAAAAGCTGTGAGGTAGGCAAAATTGAGAGGCAATTACTCCAAAATTTACCTGTTAGGTTTCCTATTATTATTATTATTATTATTATTATTATTATTATTATTATTTCAAAAAATGGATGGGCATCTGCTGGGGGAGCTTTAACTATGTTTTTCCTGCCTGGCAGAAGGGGGTTGTAGTGCATGGTCTTCCAGTGAAATAGTACTATTATGTTTATGTTGGTTAAAATTCCCTAGAAATCAGTGGATGCGCAAATCTTTCTGAGACTTGGAGATTTCAAGTAGTTTTTTTTAAAAAAAATGTTGTTCATAAAAACTTCTAAAACATCCCAAAAATCAGGGGATGTGTGAAATGTTCTGAAACTGAGGGGAGGGGAAACAGTGGTAAATATGTTCTACAATTGTAGCAAGTTTAATCCCGATGCCGCTAAGAATGAGGGAGAAAGGAGTCCTGGAAGTTTCCCCGTTTGCACAATTACATAAAAAAGTTATGGAAATTTTGTTATATTGTTATAGTTATGATATAGACCCCTTACAATAGAAACATTTTATAAATGATTTGGCAATTCCTCCTCCATTTAGTTATGAGTACTGAAACATTTTTTTCATTGTTTGCACAGGCCTCATATTTAACCAAACAATTTGATAACAATGTCTCAGAATTTTTCAAACTCATATTGAGGATGTCAAGATAAGGCAGGCTCTTAGTCTTAGATCAGTCTTAGTCTTTGTATTAGTCTTAGATCAATAACAAAAAGTTATTGATCTAAGACCAATACATTGATAAAATATTTTAAGGTAGATTTTTTTTGTTATCATGAATATTATTGTTGGGTGTTGTGGATGCATAACTGGATAGTAAATATGGAATTCTTTTTAAATGCATGACAACAGCAGCAAGAATACGGTTTGCTCAAATCTGGAAATGCATTGAAGCTACAATAATGAAATAATGTATTGATAAGGCTGCTGATTTGGCTGAAATTGCCAAATAAAAATGGGTTTTGAGAGATAAGCAATTACCCATTTTATTTATATTTTTTATTTAAAATATTTATATCCCGCCCTTCTCCCTACAAGGGGGACTCAGCACGGCCTCACATGAGCATCAGAGGATGCTAACAGCATAAATACCATAAAATTACAATTCACAATAAAATCATTTTAAAACATTGTACGTCATCACTAAAATTTAACAATAAATTAATAGATTAACATGCCAGTAAAAACCCAGCCAAGCCGGGAGAATCCATGTCACAAAATCCAAATTCCCTTTTCCTATTGTCGCTGGCCTCTAATGGAACAGCTGGTCCCAGAGCCACGTTTTCAGTTGTCTTCTAAAGGACAGGAGGGAGGTGGCCAACCTGATGTCCTTAGGGAGAGAATTCCACAGACGGGGGGGGGGGGCACTGCCGAGAAGGCCCTGTCTCTCGTCCCGACCAACCGTGTTTGCAAGAGTGGTGGGATCGAGAGCAGGGCCTTTCCTGATGATCTTAAGCTTCATGATAGTTCATAGCAGGAAATACGTTCAGACAGGTAATCTGGGCCAGAACCGTTCTGGACTTTAAAGGTTAAAACCAGCACTTTGAATTGTGCCTAGAAGCTAATCGGCAGCCAGTGGAGTTGACGCAACAGAGTAGTGGTATGGTCCATGTACACATCTCCAGTTAACAACCTGGCAGCTGACCGCTGGACTAATTGGAGTTTCCGAGAAGTTTTCAAAGACAGCCCCACATAGAGAGCATTGCAGAAGTCTATCCGGAATGTAACCAGAGTGTGGACCACCGTGGCCAAGTCAAATTTCCCAAGGAACGTGCACAACTGGCTCACAAGCTTAAATTGTGCAAAAGCTCTCCCAGCTACCACCGAGACCTGGGGTTCCAGGCTCAGCGATGAGTCCAGGATCACTCCCAAACTGTGAACCCGTGTCTTCAGGGGGAGGAACAGCTAACACAGGTTGTAACCCAATCCCCTGTTCGGCCTTTCAACTGACCAGGAGTACCTCTGTCTTGTCTGGATTAAGTTTCAATCTGTTTGCCCTCATCCAGGCCAACACAGCAGCCAAGCACCGCTTCAGGACCTGCACAGCCTCCTTAGTAACACCTTCTGGGACCGACCCTCCAGGAAGGACTGGAGCCACTGCAGAACAGTACTCCCAAGTCCCATATCCCTGTGGTGTCCCAGAAGGATACCATGGTCGACGGTATCGAAGGCCGCTGAGGTCCAGCAGAACCAACAGGGACACACTCCCCCTGTCTTTTCTGTAAGGTTGGAATTTATTTCTAGACCTTATAATAACAATATAATAAGTAGTTGTTATGGTTACTAGTGACCATAGTAGGATTATTTTGCTTGAGTTATAATGGTAGAATTTTTCATCTTTTTTTGTTTTTTATTCCATTGCAATCAGGACTGGAGTGTTGGTCAGAACCCTACTGTGTTACATCTATATATCTTTTACTTTTACTTTTTTCCTCTTTTCTTTTTCCTCTCTCTCTTTCTTCCTTCTGTTTCTTTTCCCCAAAGTACATTATTTTGATTGTATGTTAAATTACTGGTGTTAAAATCTATACATTTAAAACTAAAAGTTTAAGTTTTGCAGAAATTATGACAAAATACAAAGCTACTACTGCATCCTTCTCCTTCTTTCCTAAACTTGCAGGAACAGCTAGAAATGAGCACTTGGAAGAATTAATTCTCTGGTGATTGTCAATAAGAACGATAGCAACTTTAGGAAGATTTTGGTTTCCCAGTTAGTTTCAGTACAAAAGTTCCCTTTTTCTTTTCTGAGAAAGAAAAGTGCATAATAGTTAATTAGCCCCTTAGGGATCAATTTTCAAAACAGTGTGTAGGAGGTATGAACACAAACCTTATTTGTTAATAGGTTCTCTATACATACCTCCTGCAAACTGCCCCCCCTACCCCCATTTTCTGGGTAGCTCAACAAACATTATTGGAGCACAACATTTTGAACATATGAAATTTTAGATGCTTCATTCCTTAGGGCACTGGATAGATGACATAAATTAGGTATAGAAAGACAAGCATTTCTATAGTCATTATGTCTTGTTATGGTACACACTGGTAAAAGAGTAAAAAACTATTTTTGAACATAAATTTCTATTGATTACTTAACATAGAATCTTAGAATAATAGAGTTGGAAGAGACCACATGGGCCATATAGTCTAACCTCCTGCCAATCAGGAAAAGCACAATCAAAGTGTCTCTGATAGAAGCCATTGAGCATCTGTTTAAAAGCCTCCAAGGGAGGAACTTCCACCACACTCTGAGGCAGAGGATTCCACTGCTGAACAGGTCTTGCAGCTCGGAAGTTCTTCCTAATGTTCAGGCGGGATCTCCTTTGCTGTAATTTGAACCCATTGCTCCGAGTCCTAGTTTCCAGGGCAGCAGAAAACAAGGCTGTTCCTTCTTTCTTATGAAATCTTTTCACACTTAATTTTCTACCTTAGGCCCTTCTACACAAAGCTGTGAACTTTTCCTTACAGCTATAGTCGTATACTTGTAACCTTTGTAAGTATATTTCAGCTGAAGGAACTAGAAAGAGTTCATCTTAGTAGAGTAAGAAAGCATGAAAATAATGGTTTTACCACAATATGTCAAGGGACTTAAAGCACATACTCATACAATCTTCTGTACTCCAAGATATTGTCATGAAATCTCATAAGAATAATTTTAAAATATCCTTCATGTAACAGTGCAATAAGATTTACAACGATTTTTTTTGTCAGAAAGTGATGTGAGAATATAAATAAACTTTGCACGCTGCTCATTTTAGACCTTAATATTACTGGATGATGGTAAGATAAATTACAGAAATTTTTGACTGGAATATGCATTTTTTGTCCTCCAGTGCACATTTAATAAAATTGTACAATCTCTGAATATTTATATTGAGGGAATATGATTAGAAGTCAAGAGTATCCACTTGTTGCAATTAGAGCTGTGTTTTTATTTGATATAAAATTGTAGGTTTCAGGGTGGTAATTTTAAGTGATTTATTATTGTTTAGTAATTAGATGCATTTTAAGAAGTATGTGGAAAAACTAGTGTAATATTAATTAATATGCTATAGAGGCATGGGGAAATTATTTAAAATACAGTGATGACAAGGATGGTTTTGTATAGCAAAATCTTTCAGGGTATCATAATGATCCATGAGATTTCATTTCCATTGAAGACGAGATTGTATTGGCACTACAGTTACTATGGTAATGAGCGCTTGAGCATAAGAATATTCCCTTAATTGGAATTAATATCAATTTTGCTGCCTTTTAAGAAGACTTTCATTAAAGAGGAATGTTCAACCTTTATTAAAGAACAAAAATGAACAAATTTGCTTCTTCAGTACTTGTAATTTTCTCCCATCCTCTAATGAACAACATTCCAAGGTAAAATAGCACAAAATGATACCTGAAGGGCAAATACAATGACCAGACTAATGTGCTAATGTTCACTGTGTGGGCTCCTTTGTAACTTGGCATTTGCAGTAGAGTTATATGTGCTTGCCCGCTTGCCCACCCCCTCACCTCTTATGTTCATTTATTGTGATACTTCTCAAATTCCGTTGAGGAATCCTGAAAGGATGTGTTAAATAGGGATTGAGTTGTGAATTGGACATATATCAAGACTAATTGTAGATGGGTCTGCTCTCTCCAAATCAGTGGTTGGTCAATAAAATTGGTTACATTACTGGGATGCAGTCTTTTTTCTCCATTTGTTCTGGTTAGATGGTGATCTATCAATAAAGGTTTCATTGCTTACTTATCTTCATTGTTTCAGGGTAGTGCTTGTGCAGCAGCACTGATGGGGCAGAGAGGCATGTATGGCTACTTTTCCTCTCTTCATGTTATTGTATTATGCAATGAAAGGGACCATGTATATTTGTTCTAAATTCAGTACTGCTTCATTTGGTTATACCCTCAACTCAGTCCCATCAATTTAAGCAAAAATAATAATAATAATAACTACAGGCCAGTTTGTTATTAATGCCCATGGGAACAAGGATAGAATATTCAGCAGACCTAGCCAGAATAGAAAATTGTGAAGAATCTTGAAAGTGACTGTCCAACAACATCAAGAGGTCCACATTTTGCCCCTGTCTGCTGTATAATATTTACCACCTTATCACATTGAGAATTTTCCCAGTTGTAGGACACTTCATCCTCAATTCAAACATGGAGAGACACTGAGTTAAACTACTTCTGGTAGTCATACATGCATAGTTCTCCATGGCTGAAAAGAGGCAGAAGTGTCCTGAAGGGAGGGAACTCCGGTAATCAACCTAATCACATTGAGAAATTTCCCCCTCGTAGGACACTTAAGCTTCTTTTCTAACATGGAGAGGCATGGAGCATGGTCCAGGGTTGAAAAGAAGCTGAAATGTCCTGAAAGGAGGTAACTCTGAACATGGACCAGCAATCGTGTTCAGAGCTCCTATCCCTTATAACACTTTACTCATATCTTTACAACTGAAAAACAGGTGTGATGGGAACCGTCAAAGCTTTCCGTCCTGTTTCATTGCCCAGCCATCAACAGTTTTTTTCTTTCCTCTGGGGTTCAGTGCAAACCAATAGGATTCCATGGAAAGCAATGGTTTTAACCCGGATTACTGCCTCTTGTATCTTCTGGAGTTTGGAGCAGAACATTTTTTCCCGTGGAAAGATGAGATTTTAAACTGATGTCAGTCTCCTTTAATGTATACACCAGTTCTATTCTAGGGTGTAGGAGATAGGGTACATTCCTTTTGGCCTCATCACACTTGAGCATTTATCCACTTCCATCCACTTCACATGCTGTGACTGTCCTCTGCAGAACTCTGTGGTTTGTAGTTTAGGGAGGCCCAGTGCTTCTCTGGATGAGCAGTTTAAAGGCTCATTCTAAACTACAAACTCCAGAATTCTGCAAGAGGCAGTCAAAGCATTTAAAATGAATTGAAATGGATAAATGTTCTAGTGTTATGAGGCCAAAAAGGCACGTACCATATCTCCTACACCTTAGAGAAGAACTGGTGTATACATTTTGTATAGTTCACCTTTTAGACATTAAACTTCAAAACTACCATGAAGTTTGTTCTCATTTCTCATTCTTCAACCAAAAAAGTATCACATTAAAGATTTTACCAAAAAAATCCACAGTTTTTTTTCTTTTACCTATATAGTTCTTTAGGAGTATTTGAGAACATGACAAATGAAACGTCTTCAGATAAGCTCATGTAAACAGTTACTCCTCACATAACAGAATGACTCTGCTTGAGTCAGGTTTGACATTCAAGAAATCTATAACCAATGCTACTAAAATTGAAGTAGCTAAGGCAAAGGCAAAACAATGACACTGAAAATCGTTCATATCATATATCTCATTTCAAACAGGACAAAAAGTAAGGTGGCACATTATGGAAGAAAAACAAATGAAGATTTTTTTTTTGTCATAGAAATTGTTCCTCCTTGCCAACAGGTTCTCCATCAGTTTGGCTGAAGTCTTCAGCTCTTTTTTTATAACACTAGAGAGTTATACTTCTGGGATGCTCCTTTGGAATAGATTGCATTGTTTTATAATAGTTCCGATCATTCTTAAAGTACAGAATTTGGAAGATGATGCTAGGAGATGCCTGTTCCTCTTCATGTTATTCAACATTTACATGAAACAGGACAGCATTTTTCTGAATGGAGCAGAAAATGCTTGAGGACCGGGACATCCGTAGGGATACCAAGGTGCTTGTTTATAAAGCTATTGCCCTCCCAAACCTGCTATAGGCCTGTGAGACATGGACAGTCTACAGACGTCACATGCAACTCCTGGAACAATTCCATCAGCGCCGCCTCCAAAAAATCCTTGTCTTGGGAAGACAAGAGGACAAATGTCAGCATGCTGGAAGAAGCAAAGACCACCAGCATTGAAGCGATGGTTCTCTGCTGGACGGGACATGTTGTCCAGATGCCCAACCACCATCTCTCAAAGCAGTTGCTCTATTCCGAACTCAAGAATGGAAAACGGAATGTTGGAGGACGGGAAAAGAGATTTAAAGATGGGCTCAAAGCCAACCTTAAAAGCTCTGGCATAGACACTGAGAACTGGGAAGCCCTGGCTCTTGAGCACTCCAGTTGGAGGTCAGCTGTGACCAGCAATGCTGTAGAATTTGAAGAGGCACAAATGGAGGGTGAGGGGGAGAAATGTGCCAAGAGGAAGGCGCATCAAGCTAACCCCAACCAAAATGGCCTTCTACCTGGAAACTGATGCCCTCACTGTGGGAGAAGCTGCAGATCAAGAATAGGGCTCCACAGTCACCTACGGACCCACCACCAGGATACTACACTTGGAGCACCATCATCCTCGGACTACGAGGGATTGTCTAAGTAAGTAAGTAAGTAAGTAAGTAAGTAAGAAACAGGACACATCTACGCTTAGCATTTAAGGCAGTGTATCAGCTCCCTGGTGGGCAAATGCCACGCAAGGCTGATCCAGTGCAACACAGGACAAGGCCATGCTGATGCAACCTTACCCCACATTTCTCAAAGGGGAAATTGGGAGTCCTCCCCCAACTTAGGGACTGTGGGCCAGTTCTCAGATGGAATTGGCCAAAACTTTCCCCATGCATGCCACATTTTCTGGACTTGGGCAGCCTGGAGACATTGAATGACAGTCCCCTTCCCCATCCCATCCCCTGTGGTAGTTTCCAGTCACAAAATGAGTCCCACCTGTTGTCTGGCACATGCTCTGACATTGATTGGGGTCACGAGAAATGCTGGGAAGGCAAGGGGAAAAAAAGGGAAGTTTCCTCCACTTCCCCATTGCCTTTGCTGACATCACAGCACATTAGGGAGAACAGGAAGACCTGTGTTGTGACCAGAGACCACAATGGCAGGGTGGACAGGAAGCAGTTAGACACCCTGGGCAATGGGGACTTCCCTTTGCCTCCATGACAGCTGGGGAAGCCCCATCAGTATGTCAACAAAGTGCATGGTAGTTTTTGAAGTTTGTCATGGGTGAAAAAAAGAGAAGAATATGGAGCAGAGTCCTTCAACTTCAAGATCTGAGAAGAATGTGGCTCATGTGAATGCTTGTCTGAATGCTTTCCCACCCATGATACAGCCCTGACTTAGCTCCATGTGATTCCTCTCCCCATGCTCAAAATCTACCTCGAAAGACATAAATCTGGGACAACTGAAAACCTCCAGGCAGCTGTGATGAGGGCATTGGACCACATTTCAAGTGCATACTTCCTCCACTGCTATGAAAAGTGGCAGCAATGCAGGAATAGCTGTATTTGATTGCAAGGAGCCCATTTTGAAGAGAATAAACTGTAACTGCATGCTCATTTTTTTTAAAAAAAACAATTCTCATTACTTTTGGGACAAACCAAGTAATTCTTCTGTGTTTAAAATTGTTATAAGGTGTGATATATCTATATCTATATCTATAGATATAGATATAGATATAGATGATATAGATATTCTTTTGAAAAACATTTGTATTATGACTTCTTTTTTTATAATCTATATTGTAACCAATCTTGAATATTAAGAAAAAAATTAAACAATATAAATAAAATAAAATTTTACCTTACACAGAATGGGAATTCAAGAACATAGGAACCTTTTTCATAGAGATGTGTTCATCATTTGAAGACTGCCACATAAATGTTCACTTACAGATATAAGCTTTGTGTAATATCTTCAGGTGTCCATTGCAGCTTTTCTTATATAAAATAGCCAGGACAAGTTTTAGTAAGGCAAAGCTAATCAACCAGTTTCCTTAACTTTAGAAGTCCTCAAGCAGTTTTGTATTTAGCGAAGTCTGCAATATTTATGAGCATTATTAGTATTACTGAATGTATTAGAATAGCTTCCAGAAAATCCAATTAAGAGTGAGTCCCATTGTGCTAAAGAATACAAATATGCCACTGTGGGCACCATAGGAAGAAAAGATGAGCACAAATGCCACAATTTTATTAATTTAGAGGACCATCCAAGGGACACCTAATTAAGCTTACCAGGGCAAGAACTCAAGTTCACATTAGCAGAGAGGTTGTTCTCAGAAATTGAAATTTTCAGGCATGTCAGCTTCTTCTGCTGGTGCTGAATCATGGCAGGAAACCTGAAATGCAAGTTCAGAAGAGACTTCTCAGTATATAGTTATAGCTATATAGGCAAAGATTAAATAGGGATACACTTTGGCTGATCTGCAGTGGAAGTTGATCAAAGCCGGAAAGGTTTCTGTCTGCTCCTACCTTAGAATTATTCCATTAAAAGCAGTGTTATCTGCAGAAAACCCTAGTGTTTTATGCAAACTCCATAGCCAAGTAGATGAGGGGCAAACCACTAACTAGCAGGTACATTAAACACAAACATGCAGAAATTGCAACAGTACAGTAATGCCCTGGTTGCAACCTTAAAATTCAAGGAATGATTGCCAATTTCCTGAAGCAATCTATTGGCAGTGAAGAGCACATTTTGGCATATTGGTAAGGATAGACACATATCAAGTAAAAACATGACCAATTCTTCAGAGGCACTATTATCGTTGCATCTCTCCTTTCTTAATAATGTGAACTGCAATATTTCAACCCTTCTACTCCTCTTACAGTGCTAAATTTACTTTTGAGGGAATGAAAATGTTATGTTTTGGCTTATATCCAACACTGTCATTATGAAGACAGTAAGCTTCTATTACTTGCAGAAACCCCAATACTTAGACCCTGCACAATCCATTCTATTGACTATTTCACAAATGTTTCCCCTCAGCCATCCACAAAATATTGCATGATTTATTCCCCAGGCAGTTTCACAGTCATCATAGCTATTGGTTGCTCATCTTGTAGTTGCATTTCTGATATTGACACTACTGTCACTTTACTTTTTCTACTATTAATATTCTATACAACCACAGATCACTCACAGGCCAGAAAGAGAGTCTCTTTTTTGGTTTTCCATTTTTTTCTAATAGGCTTGAGTAAGAAATAGGAAGGCAGCCTTAAATAATAGTTCTGATCATCCAGGCTCCATCCCTTATTTTCTGTGTCAACAGTGGAAACCCAGAAGAACAGGAGTGAATCATAGAATCAGAAGAAACCACAAGGGCCAGCCAGCCCCCTTCCACTCAGAAAGGCACAATCAAAGAACTTCTGACAGATTGTCTTTTAGCTACATTACGTTGTTCACCTGAAGGACACACTAGCACAGTGAATGTGAGTTACTACCAAGTGACTATGATACTAATGTAACTGAAATACACTTTCATTCTTAAAACTGCAGTTAGATTCTGCAGTTTTAAAGTAGATTCTGAGAAAATGATATCATGACACTGACTGCAATATGACTACACTGAGAATGCATGCAGTTTGACACTGCTTTAATTGCCATGGATGAATGTTATGGAATTGTGGTAGAATCATAGAATCATAGAAAACTGAGTTCAAAGATACCTCATGGGCTATCTATACCAATCCCCTGTGAAGAAGCAGGAAAATCACATTCAAAGCACCCCTGACAGATGGCCATCCAGCCTCTGTTTAAAAGCCTCCAAAGAAGGAACCTCCACCACACTCCGGTCCACTGCTGAACAGCTCTTACAGTCAGGAAGTTCTTCCTAATGTTCAAATGGAATCTCCTTTTTTTGTAGTTTGAAGCCATTGTTCCGCGTCCTAGTCTCCAAGGCAGCAGAAAACAAGCTGCCCTGTAGACTAGGACTTGGAACAATGGCTTCTATACTGTAGATTGGGGAGTAGTCAAGATTCTTTGTGAGATAACACTAAAGACCCTGTAAAACTCCAACTGTCATTAATTTATAGCAGTGAGTAATGGGACTTAAAGTGGTGTCAAATTCCATGAATTCTGTAGTGTAGATGCAGCCTTAGTTGTGAAAAACTTTCCCTGTATTATACTTTGAAACACAACATGCACAAGCAATAGGCACATTGTTGCTCAAAATTGCATATTCAAGAACAAATAAGAAGAGACAAATAATGAACTAGATGTATGCAGAAAGTAACTGTGCTCTTCGCCACATTGGATAATCAGACATTCATAGGATTAGATCAAACATTCATTCATTCACAGTGCAATATTAGACAACAACAAAGGTAACCAAAATGTTGCTCAAAAAGATAAAGCTAAATATACATAGGAGAATACTGTATTTATTATTGCTGTACAACTGTGAGCAATATTTAGTTTATGAATTCTGCTCCCTCTACACACACAGAGAAAAGTCAAACCAAAGACAATGCTGAATACTTTCACATTGTGGAGAATAAAGAGCAAAGCTTTGAAACTATATCATACCAAGAAAATACCACACAACTGTGTCGGATCATATGCTTGATTCTAGAAATATCTGGAAGGCTTTTGGTTGTGTTTTTTCAAGTAATATATGAAACAAAATGAACAAGGCACATTTTAAAGACTTCCATTCTCTATAATTAGGTAAAAACTTAGCTTGATTTGATATAACTGACAGAGAGATCAAACTGAAGAGAGAACTTGAGATTTAATTTAATTAATAATTGTGGTTACTGGTAGTATATTAAACTTATAAAAAAACACAATATTGGGGTTTTTTTCCAAGTGAACAAAAGAGGGCTCAAAGTGACTGCTGGGGGAAAGGGGCAGCCATCAGAGACAGGATGCATAGGAATAACTGTGGTATAACTTAAGCTGTATACAGACTAATAGTTAAATGTACCACATATGCAGCTCCAACTACTTAGGTTAGTGGTGCTGAGTGTATGCTAAATAAGCATTGCACTTGCTGTCTCAGAAACCATCTTTAATGCAGTGAAAAATTAAATAATCACAAGTTGGCCTCATCACTTTTTTAGGGTTGCATTTTGATGATGATGGTGATGATGATTAGCAACAGCAAGAGCCCATCTAGACAATAGATATCAGCATGGCAATCCTATATATGCCTGCCTGCTCAGAAGCCAGTTGTGCGTAATTTAATGCAACTCACAAATATTACATTGTAATACTGAAAAAGTCATGGTTTCAAGTTTACCTTGGGAAAGAAGAGGAGAGTTGGGAGATACATAGAAGAAGAAGACACATTCAAGGAAAAGAACCATTCAGATGGTCCTGGACTAAAAGCTCAACAGAAAGAGACCAAGTGTTTCCTCATAATTACTGCTACTTCAGCAGATCAGTAGGTGGAGGGGGAAATTGAGGAAATAATATAGAAATGGAGAAAATGATAGCTGATTGATCATTTAGAATGAGAAGGAGGGATGTAGCTATGAAAAAGCAGTTATGAAGAAAAAAGAAAAATGAGTGAAATGGGAGAGGAGAGGAGAGTAGCCCAAAAAGGGGGAAAGAATGAGAGTGAAGACTCAGGCCCCATCTAAACTGTCATATAACGCAGTCTTAACTGCATTGAACTGCAATATATAGTAGTGCAGACACTCATAATGCCATTAAATCTAGACAAACGGCATTATATGAGCAGTATAGATGGACTCAGGGAGAAGGGTTTATTTGCTTTGGGTGGATGTAGGAAATTATGACTACCACTCTAAAACCCAATTTGAGAATGAGAAGGAAAGAACTGATAACTGATGCTGGAGGAAGTATGGAAGAACCCAACTTTCTAAGTTTTCTTCGAGTGGCAAATCCTTCACTACTTCACCACCTATGCTGCCTGCTTGTATTTTTGTCTGTAAGACTCATACAAGCAAGGAGATAGCTATTAGAAGTTCTCTTGCTTCAACCAAGTGTCAGTGGGGAGGAAGGATGGAAGAGAGGATGGTGCTAGTAGTCGCCATCATTATTTAAATGCATGTTTTGGCAGGATGGATATGCTGACTTTTAAATTACAAAGCATTTGAGCATTTGGAATGGAAATGCACTGTACTGTGGGTTTTGGAGATAGAGGTAATGCCAAACACTACTTTTTTCCCAGACAAATGCTAAAAATAAATTATATAATAACTTATAAGCCACTTGTTCATGAGCTGACTTCATATGTGATTGCTGCTGTGTTGTATAGCATTCCAGAATGGGCAGTTTCAGCTACAGCTTCTGTAAATATAGAGAACATCAAATATTTTTTGTAAGATTATAGCTATAGTATAGTGTAGCTATTGTATTTATTTCCAATGTTTCTATGTAACAGAATCAGTAGCGGAAACTATGTTCACTTTTTGTGAATAGAAAGATAATTTTGTTCCCCTTTGCCACAAATCTAACATTCTTAAATGGACACAGTGAAGGTATATGCCAATGATACAGTTTTGTATTGCACTACCGGGAATAAATGTGATTTAAAATGTTTTAGACCTTGTTCTTTCAATTATGTTTGCCATGGAAGCTACAAATAAAATAATGAAGTCTGCTGTATTTGTGGAAATGCCTTGTTATTCCACACTCTGATGCAAATACATCAAATTCTACTAAAGAAAACATAAATGAAAATTTGGAGATTTTTAAAAAGTAGGTTTTAAAAATTCAGGAAGAGAGAAAGAAAAAGACCATCCTAAGCAATTGAAATTCCAAGTCCTCCTCTGTCTCCTAGGCAGTTTCTCTCACTTACCCAATGATTGTTTCTTCTCATCATTTACATATTTAGAGAACAAAAAGCAGCCTGCCAACTACTGATATGATTCATTCATTCTCATCCACTGTTATTACATATCCAGGGCATGCATGGAAATTCACAGTCTTCTTGTCTATTCTGCCTTACTCCCTCCCATAGAGTCCTGAAGTCAGAAGCAATTGGGAAGTTGGGAGAAGTAGCAGAGTCCTGAAGAGTCTTCTGTAACTTAGGCTTTGAAGCTACCTGTAACTTTTACAGCCAGTGTAGACTGTTAAAATGTGTAACCCTAATGCCCATCTGAAGTCCAAGACTTAACTTCTTGACTAAACTCAAAAAGACAGGACTAAATTTGGCCTGTATCTTGCAAAAGATCATAAGAATGAACCCCAAAAAATCTGGTTTTACATAGTCCAGATACACAGTCCAGATTCAGATCCTTGCTTTTCTAAAAAAAAAAAAAGGAAAAAAAGGAAAAAAAACAGAAAAGTTTTGAATCTGGGCCAGATGATGGCCAAATGGCTGTTGAAAAGAGAAGCCTACAATATAGGTAAAATATGGAAAAACT